TTGTTTTTAATAGATATAAATGAGTCATATATTTGTAAAGTGCTTGAAGTTTTGAAATAAGGGCATTTTCATGAAAGTAGCACTTTATACACGTTGACAGCAAAGTGGCATCAAGGTGGTAATCACTGGAAAAACTTYTAACGTGATTACTATTCCTAAGGTTTGAGCCAGATAATCAAAATCTGCTGCTTGTCGCTTCGAAGAACTGGACATTTGTGGTAATCAAGTGGAGCTCAAGCTATTGGGGAACACTCTCCTTAAAAACTGTCCAGGCAGACGGAAAAGAAAGAAGAGAAGACAAAAAAAGGCTGTGGCCAAAGGATGAAACGCTAAGTAATGAGGCGATTGTTTTGGTTGGGAATGATCCAGACCACAACAGTWASCGAGGCTTCAGAGGAACCATATCAAGGCTGAACATTTGGGATACTTGGATTGGGGATACAAAACCTGACAGTCTTACAACTAACGCTAGAGTTGCTTGGCCAATGTTTTGGGATTTCTATGGACCTCAAATTGCTGGATCTGTTGTCAAATTGCCATATTCTGAACTACAGAGAGGTATGCTATGATAACTGGGAGAAAGTATATGAAATATGTAAATAACTACTTCAATTGTATCCTATTTCTCATTTGAATGTTATTTTTTATGTTATTATATTTTTAATGAGTTTTTTTTTTTGACACCTTCGCTGATTTTATTTTTTTCTTCGGTTTGCTTTTCTTTTTCTTCTTGTGATCGACTTTGTATTCATTATAACAACCTTGGAATTAGAAAGTGCAAACATTGCTTTTTTTAAGCACAGTAGTCTGAATATAATTTTTTAAATTTAATTTTTTTTTATAAATATTTCAGTTCATCAAGCTGTTCCCGCTGCAAACATCAAGTGGTCAGCCCATGGAATCGACAACGTGGCTGTCACCGCTTCCTCTCAAATATTCAAAGCCACGTTCAATGATATTCCGTGCGATTCTGTGGCCTATTTGTCCGTCACTCTAAAAGCACAGGAGACACCAAAACGCATCAAATATAAGCAAACATTTACTGGAAATGTTAAGTGTTATGGCATTTTTGGTGGACTGTAAGAACTGTATTATATTTTACTTAGTAAAATATTAGTACTTAGTACTTGTACAGTACTCTTCCAGGGGCGTATCCAGGGGGGGTCACAGGGTGAAAAAAAAGCGTGAAAACCATAGATTGATATGACATCACAAAGGATCTCCCCCCCCCCCCCCCCCCCCCCCGCCAATGAAAATCCTGGATACGCCCTGCATGACTTCCAAAAACTGCAAAGATTATATTACTCAGAACATATTATTAGTCAATGAGGTCTGCATTATAGACCTTTATCAAAATAAAAATGTCATTCTGAAATACTTAAAGTATCGAATTGGTCATTAGTGATAAAGATGCAAAGTGTCAAGAACAATCTTTAAACTTCGTATTTTCTTCTTAGTTTTATTGACAGCACCTTATATGGAAGTCAATTATTTTATCAAGATGTTAGGGTCGAAAAAGCTCAAAAATCAACAAATAAACGCCGGTCCTCTAGGGGTTACACTTCGTATTTTCTTGTTGTTTATCATGAAAATGAGGCAGGCTCACCGAGAATCGATCGCTGCTTGCAATACCTTTCTTTGCAAAATTACATAGTTTTGAAAATTCACCAATTTCAGTTTGAAACTTGGCATATTTTTTATCATCACTGATGTGACAAATTCGATACTGGATTTCTTTTTCGTTACATAGAGTTTTTTTCATGCTAGCGTGATATGAATTTCGTCTATTTTCTCTAGTTTAGATTAAATTCTCCGTCACTAAAGCAATATTTGTTATTTGAACTAGACTTTCTGGAGCATACAGATTGAACGAGACAGGCCTATATCCATTTGATTCGACTAAAGACAAGATATCTGAATATAAAGACATTGGATCATCTTCAGGTTCGTTGACTGTGCTGTGCTGTGCTGTGTCAGTTAGATTTTCTCTTAATCCGTGCTATTGATTAATTAATTAATTAATTAATTAATTAAGGGCCTGGGAACGAGGTTGGAGTTGTGTCGTTGTGTGTGCATATTGTTAATAGAAAATTCAACCTAAGTTCTCGACGAATTGAAAAATACCACTTGTATTTGTTATAAAATAGTGGTGCACGCACTTTTTGTTGAACCACTTTCATCACATACTCGCCGTAAAACGCTCACAATTGCCAAACAATTTCCATGTATTACTTTATATTTTAGTGCCACACCTACCGTTGGGTTCAATCTATGGATGCCAAGAAGGTAACTTTTGGGAGAAACGGGGAAATTCAGCAGCACAAGCCACTATAACTCAACGGTGCAAACCAAATATGAAAAGTTTCACTCTCACGACGTTTGTCAAGTGCGGAACAGGGAGTTTTGAACTTTCAAACTTTAATTTCATTCAGTGAAGAATTAGTAGATTGGAAATAAGTATCAGGCCTGGTCAAGGAGTCCTTGGTTGAGGGGGAGGGTAAAACATCCAGGCTGATTTTTGATGTTTTCAATGCCCACCAATCTTTTAATTTTGAGGGCTTTTATTTTAGTAGTTCCGACGTGGATGGTAGAAAAATATAACATGTAATCAGGAAGTCAGAAATTCGACGAAATCCGGGGGAGCGGAAGAACCAGAAGGTTTCCTTATTCCGACTACAAATAAGAAATCATGCATCTATTATGCAAAAACGAAATGAAAAACAAAATTTCGGAAGCGGAGTCTTAAGTGGTAGGGAGGGATCAATCAAAAGCATTTTCTCTCCTGTCCCTCCCCGCTTTGAAAAAAGTTGATATTAGCCATTTTGAATTTGAACGTTTCTGCTTCTTCTGGTTTGTAAATATTTCATTTCAATGTTTCTGACTTCGCTGAAAACCAGGCTTTTTTCAATCTACTAATTTCACAGTAAACAAATCTCACTTCAATATATTAGATTTTCTTTAACGCGTGAAACAAAGTATAAAGTGTGTTTCACGGGTTTATGATAATCACTCTAGCCACTGATAAAAATAACATTGACTATTTCATAGTCTATCCCTTAGACGAATGACAAGCAGTTTAAGGGTTGACTTAAATATTTATTAATATTTTATTCTACAATTCTACAATGGCTTTTAAACTATCTAAACTTTATCGGCACAAAAACGACGTCATTATCTTCAAAGTTTTCAGGCATTATAATCAATTATATATTGCAATGAAAAAGTGATGCGGAGAAGAACACTTCCAAGTTAAGTTATCAATAGATTTTAACAGTCACTTCATTCAAACGACTTCCTATAGCCAGTAACGAACAAAGCATTGAACCGAGGCGTCAAGGACCACGGAGCACAGATCTTTTCTTTTATGCTAACTGTACCTTGAAGCCTCGTTTTAATGTTTTGTTTGTGTTCACTAAACCAGAGTATGGAAAGTGGTGAATAAAATAATTCCAATTAGCCATCCCGAAATTATAAAGGGACTGGTGACTAGTCACAAGATCGATGCTGTTTGAGCAATCATAACACAGATACCAGGACAAGAAAGACTAAAATTAGTATAGTTGCTAACTTTGAGCGTATTCGAATTAATAATAACAGATTTGCAAGCGTTCAAAACTCGAAAAAAAATTACAAAGAATGTATAAAGCTCTTGAGCAGCGTCCCCAAAAAACATACATTCTCTCCATCCTCGTTCCCAGGGCCTTCCCAGGGATCGCTTGGGGCCAAGCGAAGGGATAAGACCCTGGGAACGAGGTTGACATTCTCTCTTATTTTTGCATATTCCAAACTCTTGCTTCTCGGTCAGTATTCAACTAAATAATATCAAACTTGACAGGAACACTAATTGTAGTGTGGTCTTTCATGTGGTGAGGTTCAGTTTTCGATATGTGGACTATTTTCATACTCGTCCCCAGTYTCCTTCGAATTTCGGAATTACCAACAACACAAACATAACTCAAATGACGATGGTTCAAAAATGTTTCGTGAAATCTAAAACTTTTATTTTTACCCTATACTAGCATGTGTTTAGACGCGTTATTTTGATTGCTATATTTTACGTACGCAAAATAGTATTCAATAAGCTCTAATTTAGCAAGCATTTATATTAAAACTAAGCATGGAAGTTATTTCTTAGAACATCATTTCCGGTTAATGTACCCCATTGGTTTTCACTGTCCGGAATATTTGATCTTTGTGCTCTTTACTCCATCTAAAAAAACAGATGTATAAATAAATACACAACAATGAAAACAAGTAAAATTGCAGGGTCTCAGGAACTGTTGTTATTGCATTTACTTCCGGAAGGAAAACAATACAATACGGCACTGGGGAGAAACGCACTGCACATGCGCAAGCCTCAACGTCAAAGAGTTGAAAAATCAAAGGCAAATATATTTCTTCCTCTATATAAATAAGTCTTTGTGTACAACTATTTTAGAAAACGTTGAATACTGAAGATAGTCCATTCCAAGACCGAAATGCATTGTTGGTTTTCCTATCACCGTTCAAAAGGAGTTTTCATGGTTTCAAAGCAGAAAACAGCTCATTTTTACAGCCAAGAAAATAGTTAGATTTAGAATTACCATATTGTAATGTTTTGGTGTAATTTAATTTTGTTTGAATGTATATTTATGATGATTTAACAGCGACAATGCATTTCAGTCTTGGATTGCAATATGCATTATACAGTATTCAACCATTTCAGAAACAGCTGTAACGTTTAGTAGGTTGTTGAAAATAAAGCTATCGTGACACTGTGATGGAAAACCTTGACATTTCACAATATTTCTTTTTCTTTTTTTTTTGGTATCAAAAACCTTAAGTTACCCTAGTTACCATACGTCTAAGTGTATACAATACTAGAGCGGAATTTTTATGACTGTGCAAGAAATCATGGCACGAGTAGTAACCGTCCAGTCACTACCAGGCTTGTTCCTGTGACCGTGCCGTGATCCGTACTTCCCCCAGTCATACAAAATCCGCTCTAAGATGTCAAGACGGATGGGACATGAAACAAAATAAAAGCTTTTTCACACCTTGCTCGATTCATTAGTTTTCTTGTTCATCTTGAGTCCCTGGATGTAAAGCAATATCAATAAATATCAATATAGACTTAATGATAATGTCTGTCAGGTGTTTTGTTTTTGTTTTTGTTTTTGTTTTGCGCGTGTGTGCAATAACAGGGTATTTTTTTCCTATGCGGATCTAGAAATTATGAAATGAAATTATTTTTTCTAAAAAAAAAAACAAGATAAAAATTGCGATAATCGGGATTTTTATGCCTACAAAACTACACTTTGAAGAGGATTGCTTCTATAAGAAAACTGGAGCCGCCATTGTCACTTATTGTGCACATACCTTTTTGTATCTCCGTGATCTTGTGGTCAGACAGTGCCTCTTCCCATAATGCAATGCTATGGACATTCATGGGCATGCGGTGCTTATGCGAGGGCGAGTTGTTAGGTCGACCAATGTCAAATGAAGTAAACGAGTCGACAGGTCGTGAAACTTTGATGGCTTCTGAGCTAGCGACTTCTTTGCCGTCGATAAACAGTTTCAGTAGCTTCTTATTCTGCCAAGTAACGCCAAGGTTAAACCATCCGTCCGGCATGTCAGCGGTCTCCAGCTTCCATTGACGGTCTTTGGTACTTAGGATCAAGATGTACTTTTTGGCAAGACGGAGAAGGGCGAAGCCCCGCGCTTTTGTTGTTTGTCCACCAGTGGATAGAATATAGGTACTTGGTTTGCTACGAAGGTTGTCCTTGTCCAACTTAAGACGAGCAATAACGGTAAGACCATGATTTCGACAGAGTCCTGGATCACTGAAGCATTTACCTGAAGAAATCATAAATAAAAATACTCTTTAATAAATTGCATTATAAAAATTTCATATGGAGGATTTGTATCACATGGCTAACTACCTATCTCGATTCATTGCTTCATTGCTGGGATACCAACGAATGACAATCTAATATAAATTGTTTGTGAGTAGACTTTAGTGTGAAGTCATCTCTTCATCTTCCTTAATAGTGCTATGACGTCAAACATGACGTCATCTATTACCCCTTTGTAACCAATCACTTACCGGCAAAATCGCCCAACGATATCCATCCATGAGAATCTGATGTTGACGCGATCTTCTCTCCCTTACKGTTGGTGTCGATCTCAGCTCCATCGGACAGWAAAGCAGGCTGGTTRTGAACCATATCAATTGTTTGACCATCGACTTGCTGGTTGAAATTCCAGTAGTAATCAGCTTTAGCGAGCTCTGTTGATAAATTGAATTRATAAGAATATTAACGCTATTTTACGGAAAACTCGCTCTTGTGACAATTGTGCAAATTGTTACTTTTGAGGTAAAAAAACAAAGCGAAACGAAACGAAAYAAAACAAAGCAAAAGAACAAAAGATTAAGCACAAGCAACAGTGCTCGCTCCGCTCGGTCTGTACTTCAAAGCCGCGATCGAGATTKTTGACATCTAGACCGGCCGCTCAGTTAATAAGCCCTATAGSTATACACAATATGACCCAATATRCTTTTCACTCGGACGTTATAATAATAAACCAATAATTTTGTAAAATCAAACATGGCGGTGATGACGTCAAGTACACACGGCTAAGCCGGAATAAAACGGTCAACCTTACCATCAGCATGCTGAATATTTCCTCGTTTCTTGCCTCGAGCTGTAATAAGGGATGTTTCAGAAATTAAATAAATATTAAAACTTTCAGCGAAGAATTAAAGACACAAAGACGATGACATGCTGCTATTCGCTCGATCATGTCTTTATTTACCTTTTTTAGCAAGAAATTTTATWTTTCCCCTCATTGATTTGTTTAGCTGACGCGCTTTCTTTCTTGGCCACTTTAGACGATTTCGAAGAGAGTKGTTGATGYGGAATCTCCTGTACAGGAATTGTCTGATACGGTAGCGACTYGTTGTCATCCAAATCTTTCGCTTTAATACTCTCAACTGATGTCTTATTGAATATAGTTGTTTCCTGATCTGGTCGTGGAAATACCGATACAACATGTTGATTTTCATTCTGTGAATATGTTGCATACGAAGTACTTGTTGCTGGTGGCGGGTGTATCTCATTTTTAGTGATTTTACCATGTGTCGCAGACGAGGTTGGCGCGCGTACCAAAGCATTTTTCGTACGATGTTTTTGGAATATTTCTTCATGAGTTGTGCGTTTCGTTTAGCAATTTGATRTTGGATATTGCGATGCTTTTTCTGCCACCTCTTAGCCCTTCTAAGCAATTCCTGCTCTTTTCTCTTTGCATTTCGTCGGAGTTTTTTCAATACTTTCAATCGCAAGTTACTTAGACGCCGCCAATTTTGGTATGCTCGTCTTGAGAGAAGATGACTCATKGWRAATCTCCTCAATCTATAAAACCCTGCCCTGTTTATCACTGCTACGCGTGCTYGGTAAGCTTTCTTGGTCGCTTTCATCTGAAGACTGAGGCGTTTTCTGATAAACGTCTTCTCATTTAGCCATTCTTTTTTCAGGTTGTTCTGCTGAACGACAAAGCGACGTTTAGCTATCAGTTTATCGTTCCTAAGTCGTCGAGATAATTGTAAAGGACACCTGATCTTCTTGCAAGATCTTTGGACATGATTGAGATATTTAATTCGTGATGTGTACCCTCGACGGGTCTGACGAAGTCTCCTWATAAAACGTCGCGTTGCGATTCGCTTGCGGTGTCTAGCCATACGTTTCTTGTGTTTACGTATTCTTCGGTACTTTCTCAAAGCTCTTTTCTTCAAAATGCTGCGTAAACGCAGTAGCCTTCTTCTGCGAAGGGACACGTATCGACTACGTAATCTCTTCAGATGCATTTTCTTCAGCTTTAATATACTTGCTTTTCTGATTTGCTTCATTCGTTGGCGAAGCCTTTTTTTGAGTCGTTTGAGTACAAGTCTGTGCTTATGTCTGCGTCGACGCAAAATCTGTCGTATGCGTTTTCTTCCTTCTCGGAGACGTTTCCGTATCTTCTTCCTTTCATCTTTTCTTCTTGAGGTGGCAATTTTCTTCATTCTTTTATTCCCATTGCTCATAATATTCAAATATGCTATTCGTCGTTTATGAGCAAATTTCYTCAGCTTCGCTTGCAAGCGATAAGCYTTGTTCAGCCTTTTACGAAAACGACGAAGTRTCCGGTTTAGCTTTTTGCTCCTTATTCTTTTAAACAGCTTTCTTAGACGTGCAAACCTCTTTCGACGCAATYTAGCCAGCCGGATAGCTTCTTTTGTTCTTAGTCTGAAGAGTATCATCTTCTTGAGCTTACTTTTAGAAGCACGTTTAATACTTCGAATTCGTTTACGAGCCCATCTTTTTGCCTTTCGAATACTTTTCTTTAACTGCTGTAAATGCTTTTYCTTTGACTTTTTGATTTGRTACCTCAAACGATTTTTCCGTTTCTTYAGTTTGTTAAAAAGTTTTTTTAGTCGTTTGGCGAGACGTTGCAGTCGTTTCTTGTTTCCTTTGAATCCCTTCATCAAAAGCATTTTTCGTAAACGTTTGTAAGTCCGAACTTTTCTGTGAACACTTCGCTGCAGTCGATTAAACAATCTTATGCGTCTAAGGCGTCTGGCTCTATGATTATATTTGGCACGACTTTTTAGCTTGTAAAGTCGTTTTCTCAACAATATTTTAACTGTCCYTATTTTTTTGAGCCGAAGTGCTTTAAGTTTYCTTGCCCTCATAAGAGCAATACGCCCTCGTAAATGRCGAGCGAGCACATTTCTCAGCATATAACTTTTGSCTCTGCTCACCTTTCTCTTACGTCTATTAGCCAAACGTCTAATGCGCCTCAAACGTTTCCTCAATTTCTTGCGAAGTTTCCGGGCCCTACGACGAAGTCGACGCTTGATTCTCTCTAGCTTTTTAGAAAACAATTTTTTTCGTTTGCGGAGTTTTAGCAATTTTCTTCGCYGTCTCAAACGTTTCAAACGTTTTAACTGTTCTCGAAATTTTCTCATTCGCCTTCTTTTTATCACGTTCACCCTCTTTTTGAGCTTTCTTATCATTAATGCCCTCATTCTAGCTCTACGAATTGCAGCACGTCTGCGTTTTACAGCTAAACGCCTTAATTTCTTCTTAAGTTTTTTTATCAACATTTGTCGACGTCTAGCTCGATSTAAAGCCTTTCTGCTTCTAAGGTGACGGATTTTTGTCATCTTTTTCAAAATCTTCAAYGGCGCCCGTTGTATTTTGTTCATTCTTTTYCTTAAACGCCTCCTTAAAGCTATGGTCTTCTTTTTTTGAAATCGGAGYAGTCTGTTCTTTTGCCGTTTAAAACGTCTGAGGATGAGCCTCTTAAGACTTTTCAGGCGAAGGAGTTTGCGTTTCAGATTTCTTGTCAGTATCCTTAGTTTAATAACCTKCCTTCCTTTTCTTCGCCTAGTCATCGTCTTTTTAATTTTCCTYTGACCAGCCAAGATTTTTCTTTTTATATCTTGCGCTTTTCGCATTAAGATGGACATTCTTCTTCTCCTCTTTGCCAATATCTTACGGCGTACACGTCTGCACTTTTGTCTCAGGCGTATAAGTTTAGTTCTGTAAATCCTCCTCACTTTTGTATAAAGCTTCCGTTGCAAACGAGTTTTTACAATAAATCTACGAACTAGTTTCTTGGTCTTTAATTTCCTTGAGCTTCTGCCTCTTSCACGACCTCTGCGTCTTTTTCTGCGATTTTTGCGGCCTCTTGACTTTCTACCACGTCTACGTGTTCTTCTACCTCCCCATTTTCTAGGTTTTCGTCCTAAAACGCAAATACATGTGAGTTTACTTCTACTTGCTTGGTGATTTGATTTCAGATTAAGAATAAATAGTCTCCCTCAATTAAAGTGCAGTTTGAAATCATCTTCTATATTTGCAAGTCTCGTTTTGTAAAAATGCGTTTGTATAAATGTTAAGTAGTTGAAAGAATGTTCAGTTGAAACAGAAGATTAAACAGAGTTGAACAGCAGAATAACTGGACTAGAAATTTACKAGTTCGTTTACTTCTTTAAAACAATTAGCTTTGATAATAGTCCATGCTTTATCTCATAATGGTAGTGTTCTGTAAACCTTCCTCGCTTTTAAATTATGTTCACTTTGTACACG